AGCGATTAGTGATACAAAATGCATGTCATTCTGTACATGCTCATATGCAATGAGTTTGTGGTATGCTAACTAGCTCTTTGAGGGAAGTAGGATAAAGGGCAAATGTAATGTCGTGAAACTTCTTCTTGAAGGAGTTATGTGGAAAGATTTATTTCGTTACGCTATTAATGAACTCAGTTACAGTTATTAAGCGAGTGAAATTTTATTTTCTCATTTCAGAGTTCTTGAATGCAAAGTTTTATAGCTTTTTTAAGCTTGTAATTACGTCTATTATTACCGTACGTGATTATGGCAGTTGAAATTTGCACATTTATCTGTTTTGAAGGTATGCAATAGCACCGTTTGTCTTATTGGAGTTATCAAGTTAATTTCTGAATCTTCCGAAGAAGGATGACCTTAGAATGGCATTTTTTCTCTTTCAGTGGTTGCCGCAACTGTTTCGGAGAAACAGCTTTTGAGAAGGCGGGTGAAGTTTATTTCGGTTTCGTTTCTTTGCCTGGCGAAAACTTCTGTATATATTCTCTGCAGAAGCTTAGAAACAGATAATGGACGGCGTTACCTTGCCAGAGTGCTAAGTGTTTAAGGAAGTTTTGTTAGACTAAGGAATAGGAAATTTTTATATGGAGAACTATACTTCTAAAGTTTCCGCCGTTAAAAGAGAATTCACCTCTACTTGCAGCAGTTTAATAGTTTCGTGACAAAATTACATGACAGTATAGTGCATTTTTATTTATTTTTCACTAGAAGTTCGCAGATACTTCTAACTAAAATGTCTAGGTAAGTACTAATAAATAAATTTGTGACATAATTAATTTTAGTAGTCTGACCTGGTTCAATTACTTCCGAAGCTCGTGGTAATTTTTGGTTATGATGAATTTCTACGTGTTAATGATGTGAATATTCTGCAGTTGATTTTCAAATTTCTGCAAAAAACCGTTCACAGCAGAGATAGCAGATCTGTAGGGAACATTGAGTTAGCGAATGCTGTATTCGCCGTTAAAATATGATTCCATCCGATTAAAGCAAAATTTTACATTTTACAAAAGCTTCTTTACAGTTTAAGAAATTAGGGCATTAGTGGTCGTGTAAGACATTGCATTGATGAAGTGATCACGGTTTGTGGAGAGACGAGGAGTTAGAACGGATATCTAAATGGAATTAGGGAACAGTGCAATGTTGTTGTTTATTTGTAGAAATCATCACGAGATGCTTGTATGAGCAAACGTCTTTGGTTTGTCATAGCTGTTTCCGCAGATTTTCAACACTTGCTATAACAACCGGTTACCACTGAAGGAAGTATTCCTGTCTAAAAGCAGATCTGTGTTTGCCTTGTTCCTCCATAGTGCATGCTGGCCTCTTGGGAGACGTAAGCCATGTTTCGACTCCACTCACGGAAGCTCACCACATGGAGTAAATGATCCATGCTGAACCTGTTTGTTTAGCCGCTGCGACCCCCTTTTCTTAATCATCACAGTTACCAGTGTCACCTGAGTCCAGAAGAAAATAGATTCCTTTCTTACGTGATTCTGCATTTGACCCTCATGAAGCGGCATGTTGGCATTGTGTCTAAGAGGTCTGCTTCAAACTCCGGAGACCCCGGCTTCGATTCCGTTCAAGGGCAATCTTTGTCTTATTCACGAATTCCCATAAAACGAGATTTACCACACGTTGCTTCAGACCGGGGTTGCTCTGTCAGTAGGGTGTCGATCTCAGAACCGATAGGTCCTGAGTTCCAGCTTCAGCGTTCCGAGGTTGATAAGTGAGTATCATACTTTGGGAAGATAACAGGAAACTACACGCTACGCTTGCCACACCACTGTAGACTCTGCTGAAAAAATAAGGCACTTCTGGCTGATGAGATTGCAATGGAGATCAGTACCACGCCATGAACTTGATGAAAATAAGGGTGCCAAAATGACTCATAAAAATGAAGACTGACATAAGCGGTATGTAACTTTCTTTTCTTTCCACGCGGCGAAGTCAGCGTTATTTTGCGCAGTTCAGCCGTTGTTCGTTCTTGCTCGTTCGTTAAAACAACTGCTTTTGTGCCGTACAGCAACACTAACCTGGCAGGCAAGGTACAGGCGGATTTTCATGGGAAAGGTAAGTCCTTTCTCAAGCAAGTACTGTAAGGCTTTAAAAAGAACTCGATGCTGGGCGATCCTCCAGTTCAATTCTGGCTGAATAGTGCAATCGTTGGAGATGATAAAGCCGATATACTTAGTCTGGCCAGCCTCCTGAAGTACTTCACTTCCCTGTTCCTCTTGTAAATTAGCTTTGCCATATCGGTTCCTTAACTTATTTGTTCCGAGCTTTAAGGAATACATCGGCATTCGCAGCTGTGGTGCATACAGAAACCTTCAGGCTACAGAGCCCGTTTCGTGTTGTATTCACTAGGACAATATCATCTGCGTACTGAAGATCATCAAAATGTCTAGCCGAATATCTTTAATTGTACATTCCCTCCAGAATGAGACCTTCGTCTTTGCAAAGATAGGCATCGTTTTTGATAATAAATTCGAGAACAGTGTTGAGTAGCAATGGTGAAGGCACTGGCTGGCAAATTCTGCAGTTAATGGGGAATTATTCAGATAGCTATCTTTCAACTTTGACAGGATGCATAGTTTCTGCTTACATATCTTCCAAAATAAAATGATTCACTAAGGAATCTCAAAGTAGTTCAAAATTTTTCACATCAGCAGGCGATGTAGTGAGACAAATGCAGTCTTACTGCCTAGAAAACCGGCAAACACAGGAGTTGGAATCGTAGGCATTGTTTAATGATTCTACGTAGAGTGAAAATTTGTTCGGCACAGGTATACCCTATCCGGAATGTATGATGTTGGCGAAGTTGTCATAGAGGCACATCTATACGGGTTATTGCCCAAATGACCAGTTATCTTGCATTTTTGTAATTAAACTGTTTGTAATATTTTGGACTTAAACAACTTTTTAGTGTTATTAACAACTGATGAGAAAAATAAAAAGTTTTAATATCAAAGTATAGCCTTGGTTAAAACATTTTAGAGTGCCCCATGTGAGGCTGATTAAAACTGTGTATCGGATGATGTGGAATAGCTTATGAAACAATGGAAGAGTTGACCGGTGGCGGCGCTTTTGTCCCTATCGATTGCGGTGAGCATCCGCTGTCTGCATTTGCAGTCGTGTCTTTAACAGTCGACGGACAGAAGGTCGCTTCTTTTATCCACTACTGGTACATCAGACTATGCCAGCTATTAGGTATTAATGCGTCGCCCTGAATGTGTCGTTGTTAAACGCTTTATCTGTACAGGTCAAGAAACGGAGGACGACAAACTTCGCCTGTCTCCTTTCCAGCTTTATCGTCAAGTGATGAACCATATTCTTCCGTCGTACTATGCTCGAAGTTCGGTTCAGTCAGACGGAAATTTTGTCAAGACAACGATTAACGTTACGAAGTCTATTCTGCGCAAGTTTCTGCTCGTTCGGTTCGACGAAGATGCGTCGTTGAAGGAGCAGTTGAGGCTGACGAGCAATGACACGATCGTAGAGTGCAACGCCGACCGAATGTTTGGCATAAACCGCAGCTATGCGCAACTGCTACGTTGGCTGCACTACGTCGACCGTCAAGGACGTGACACGACGCTATTGAGTCGCTTGTTTCACTTGAACATCTTCAGATGTGACAGCACAGAGCGTTGGTTCGGCGCCAACCTCAATGGCGTGGTTTTGATGGAGTTGAGACGGGAATTGTTTGCCGGTGCCGATGATGTCAAGGACTCTGTGTCTGACGGAATATTACCCACTATCGAAGTGCCGCTTGCGAGCGCTGTTGTCGACACTGACGATGCAAACGACATTACTGAAGCGGGCCCAGTGTCCTCGCAGGACAAATTCCTGGCTTTGTGGAGAGACTCGTCGCATAGCGCATTCTACTGTCACGATATGATGTATCACCTCGATCTTCTTCCGCTGCAGAATTCGTTTGCGCCACTGGCCGTCTCGTATCAAATGCCAATTTTGGCCGGAGAGACCCTCTACCCTTCCGTCGAGCATTACGTGGCCGCTCAGTACTTCAGGTTCGTCTTTTAGAGATGTCAGTGACACATGTTTAGTCTGCGATTTAAGGGACGTTCAGCGATTGGACGCGGCTCGTGGCATAACGTTGATCACGAACCGATTCAAACTGCGAGAGTTCGTTGCACAGGTGACTCACGACGTTTCGAGTGAACAAGTGCAGCAGTGGAGGAAAAATAGAATGTATCTGTAAGTAAAGGTCAACGTAGCATTTCCCAAAATTATGAAGTGCAAAGTAGACCATGGCTTTACTTTTGAGTTGTTAATGCTGGTATTTTACGGATTTGACACAGTCATCTGCGCAATAACTTTCTGAAACAACGATTTAATGCAAGTTTCATATAACTGAAAAATAAATTATTATGGCACTCTTCGACAACATAACTGACTTATCGCATGTCACTTCTCCACTTGTTTCTGGTAACCACTTGTCACCATTTCCTGTCCTATGTAATGCTGATATTACAGTAAGCCAGTGCATGTTTCCACTTGGTTTGCACATTGTTGATAAGCGCTGCCCAGTTTCGTCGTTGTTACTTCATTCCTGATACTTGACAGCGTTCAGTTTTTCGACTATCCTCTCAATTTTACTGCGTTGACGCAGTTAACTACGAGTTAGAATGTTGATCAGTCGCTTTGCGCTTCATAGTAGTTCGTGACCGGCTAACCAAAGCTCGTTTTTTAGTCCATCAGTGGGAAAGATAAAATTTATCGTGGTTCATTATTGTTTTAATTATATTCAGTGTATTCCTTGAGCGCTTATTCTGGCATCTTTGAGTAACTTATGATCATAGCCGCCGGTCTATAACGTAGTGTTATCACCAGTGGTAGCGTTCAACAGAAAGTAGTCAGAACTCACCTCTCTCATTCTTCATTTTAAGAGGGCATGTTTCTGCGTGATGCATGGCTACTGGCTGAACGGCGACAATCTGTGCATGATATTTCACTGGCATACTGACGACATTTTGCTGCTCATCGTGCTGCAGCATGTCACGGTTATCGTAAAGCAAGCACTCAAATATGGGACCATGCGATTTGCCGTGAAATCTGTTCTTAGAGGAGTTATGCATTATTTGGCAGATGGTATTAAGCAGTGACATTGCTTGCCTTCACGGAATCAAGTCGTCAAGCCTAGGATATCTGCAGTTATCTTGGGAGTGCGGCCTCGACGGTCTACTCAGATATGCCCGGAATGCCATTGCTGCACAGTTAATTGGCAGTATCCGTGTATTCATAAAAGTGTGGTTAAAAGCGTCAGATGAATTATCTGTAAACAACTGTATGACGATTCGACTGTCGATTATCTTTTTCCTCTGCATCCCATGCACAGCAGAAGAAGCTGAAATAGCCCTTGGAAGCACCATAACAGGAAATGTTGCCAGATTTTACGGTATATTCCCTAAGTTCCTTAAGAACTTCGGTCAGTCTGACAGCTAGCAGGCGAATAGCAGTTGTGCAGTAGCATAGATGCCTCAGAGAAACTACCAAATGAATAGAAGGAAACGCTTTCGTGCAACCTGGAAGGGATAACTCTGACCTAGAAGCTACTGGTTAATTTCTGCTCTTAAATACTGCTATACATTAAATTGAATTGAAATCTTTATTGGAATTCCTAATCCCCAAGGAACAGACTGGTTTCAGAATCTGTCAGAATTGTTCTGACCAATTCTCAAGCCATATAGAATCCATCCGAAAACGAAAATTGAAAACAGCTGCAGCCTTTATTGACATGTCTTGCGCATAAAGCACAGTATGGCGGAGGGGACTGCTGCTGAAAACGTAGCTGGCCTTCCCAAGCCAAAAAGAACAATTCGACTTATGAACAAGATACTAATTAATTGTTTTATGTCCAGTTAGGTGACTAGGCTAACCGTAAAAGGAGATTAGCCACTGTCTCCCCTAAGGCTTGGTACTCTCTCCGTCTTTGTTCACCCTGTGTATAAGCGGGTTCCCTAACACATCATCCCACAAATTTCTTTATGCAAATTGTATCAGCCTGGGAACAGATACGTCCTGCTGAAGCCCACAGAAAAGATTTTTCAGGAACTGACCGCACAACTCACCTCCGTGAACAAGTGGTTACCCAAATCGGCACGGTGTGGTCTACTATTGCCTCCCTACCGAAATGTCACCATGATCAAATTGTCTGTTTGACGTTTGCGCAACTAAGCAGGATCGTCTCTGACAGCTGTTCCACAGAAATGGTCGCTCGGCTTTCCCTTGGGACAAGAAATTGCTCACTCTGACACGGCTTAATCTACTGTGAACGGACTCCAAAATGATCACTCACCCTACAAGTCAAACGTCTCATTCCCAGGCAGATGAGATTTCCTCAGCGCCGCTATGTTGAGTTTGTTTTGATGATCCTTAGTGTCAAACTTACTTTCCAAAAAACATTCTCTGTCTATTTAGTCTTTGTCAGTTCCTTGCAAAACTTGTTGGAAATATTGTTGTGCAGTGGGTGTATCTTCGTTGGAGAAGTTCGCTATCATTTTCTAGACCTCGGTGACATACGATTCGTAGGTAGAGCAATAATCCTGAAAAGGTTATTAGATTTCTATTTGTTTGACAGACGGTCAATGTACTGCTCGAGGTAGCTGTTCTTCAGATTGAGAAGAGTTCTTCTAAAATGACAAAACATGCTGTAGGTGATCGTGTTAAACAGAACGCTGAAAAGCTGCTCGATGTTTGCCGACCGTTTCGAAGGGGATTAACTTCGGCAGCCTTCTCTAAGCAAGTAGAACAATCAGTCATTGGGTTTACGCATGCGCATGCGCTAAGCCGTTAAATCAGACGAAATGACACCATCTTTACTGGTCTTGTTCTTTCCGCTTTAGTAGAGTTAGTAAAAACTGGTTGTTGTTTATTACATCCTGCGGATTTTGACGACGTTGTATACAGCGTAATTTGATTAACTCGAAGGTTACAAGAAAAACTGCTTAGAGTTTATCAAATAAAATGACAGATGTCGAGTGCAAAAAGCAACGCTTATGTCATGCTAAATCGAAGTACAGTAGATTTGGCATTGCAGCAGAATTAGGGTAATGAAAAGTCAGCCTCAGTGCAGTTCAGGGATGCATTAGCTCGAGACTAATAATGCGAATACTTGCGGATGACTATGGTGTTTGAATTATGCAGTAATTTGTGTTTCAGATTTGTTTATTCGATTTGAAACGTTAACGCAGTTTCTAATTAAAATATTTCGATAAATCACGCTTTACTGTATATCATTTTTTCATAAAGTGTCTAACGTAGTGTAGTTGTATAATACCATGGAACTGTGGCATGCCCAACTGTTGACTTAGACTTGTAAAAACGAGGATACGGCACGATTGCACCTTATACAACCAGTGGTAACATCTGTTTTTCAATCATTTGCTCACTTTATATGACTGCGATTCGTACCTGATTCACTCGCGTAGTTGTATTTCAGGGCGCTGAAAGCTGCCGTTGAACTGAAGTTTGCCCAGTATCCAGAACTGAATGATTTGCTCATGTTGACTGGCATTCGTACGTTGATTGAAGTTGACCCGGGCGACACCGACTGGAGCATAGGCATGAGTTGGATGACATTGCGCAGCTGGATGGCTACCGAAAAAGTGAATCCTTTGATGCTGTTGTTTTGGTTTCTTCATCCGGATGATAAGCCCGGCATTGTTGGCCTGAACTATGGCGGCCGGCTTTTGATGGAAATGAGGCAGCGGCTATTGGAAGAAAGAAATTACGGAAAGAAAAAGGCGATGAACGAACGAGGTAAAATTTTTGGTACGGCTGCAGGCATGATTCTTGTATTCTTTCCTTCCCTCATGTTACTGCGGAGGTCATAAACTGCATGACTACGTATGTAATACTTATCCGAAGTTTCAGTTTTTCTTTCATGTACTTGATGTCGTATTGAAAACAGCACAAAACATGGTTTTTGTTTACACAGCGCAAACGATTTGATCTTCAGACGATTAACGACTACAGTCGTTTCAGCCCGTATCTCTCGGTCCTTCTTAGGGATAGGCAGGTTGGTTGGCTAATAAAGTATTTTTCTGTCA